TTGGTCTTTTTTGAGACAGGGTCTCCCTGTAGCTCCAGCTGGCCTGGAACTCACTATGTAGACCAGGCTGGCCCTGAACTCACAGAGCTCTGCCTGCATCAGCCTCCCAAATGCTGGGATTAAAGGCATTCACCACCACTCCTGGCTCCCATGGAAGTTATTCTTGAGAAATGCAGCCATGCTTGCTCTACTGGGAGGGGAATGAATTATCTTTTACATTATTATCTTTTTAAGTTAAGGCTATGATCCTTAGCACTTTAACCTAACATTACCATTGTTGCATATTTCTAGCATTAAAAGTGACTGAGAATACTGAACATTAACAGTGATAAACACTATCAACATACTTTTCCTCTCCAATCTATCCAATGAGAATGACTGAGTCAACATTACTTTCCATTGGAATTAAACAGAATGTTACTTTACAGAAGATGGACACCATCTGGCTAATGGGCATGATGGTATTTCTCAGTAGTTGGAGTTCACTAAAAATGAACAAGAAATCAACACTTCTAGAAACCTTAGGTCCCCTGTCTTTCTCCAGTTCATTCTAATTTAAAAGAGAATTTTAGCTGGAGGCTTACCTAGTCACTTGACTCACACCTTCATAGACCCTGTTTGCTCCTAGACAGACCCAAAACAAGAATGTTAATTAAGGCAGTCATGAATGCTCACTAGCTACTGGCATGCTCAGTGAAGCCTTGTGGGTAATCTGGAGTGAGAATTCTGGAATTCTGCTCTGGCATGACTGGACTCTCTACATCTTGGAGTAATCCTGACCTGCTCGCACCTTGGTCTGCTCAGGCTGCAATGTGTAAGGGGCAGCAGGGCTGGAGAAAATTAACAATGCAATGTTAAGGGTTCTTCCCCCCCTCAATAAACAAATGAGTTAGCTTTAAGGTACAATAATTTCATCAGTCCTAAAGAAAATGATCCTCAGGCATCACAACTATAGATGGAACAAATGCACTTGGGGAGCAGGGGAGATGAGGGAGTACCCATGCACTAGGATCTGACTGAGCCATGCAGCCAAGCAACTATAAGCAACTGGGCTGTGAATGGAGTCTGATGTGTTGGAACTGATGGCCAAAGTGTTTCTAGGTTACTCAGTTATCTTTTAATTTTAAGGAAGATTGTAACTGAGTTACTCAGGTTTAGGACCACTTTGGAGTGTCAATGGCCTTGACAAGATCACGCTAAAGGGATCTGGGACTCTTTTACCTTTGCTACAAAAATCAAATATCTAGTAAGAGATTTGTGGGGGTTAGAGAGCAAGAACAGCATATTAGGAAGGACCCACTCCCACCCCCAGCAACTGCTTTATTCCAACCCCTCAAGAGCTAGCCTCTAAAAAATCTTAAGACAAAAAAGGAAGTCTCAAGCCCAGCTGCAGGGCACCCCACCCTGTAGCCAAGCTGGTTACTGCCTTTGCTTTACTGTGGAAGCAGGGTAGGGGAGGCACTTAGTGGGGCAGAGTGCCAGGATGCTCCAGGGTTTTACCAAGATTTCCTCCTGCCCTCCCTTGAGGGAAGGCATTTTCTGTGTAGGGATGAGGAATTTTGTTTCTGTATGGAAAGTCAGAGTTGCCCAATTGTCAAATAAGGAATTATATAAAATTTAGTGGTGAGATTTAACCACTAGGTAATAAAAAGAAAGACCTAACATTCAATGTTCTTATGGGGAAGGGTTTTGACACTGCCTCTCCCTGTCACTCTGTTTCACATACAGAAACATTTCTTGTAAAAAAAAAAAAAATGTCAGATTATAATCTTTACAAATGCTGAGTAGCCTTGAAGTCAATGAAGTGATACTCCCTAGCCAAGGTCTAACAGAACAGGTGAGGCCCACTCTGCTTCACCTACTGATGCTGTCTTCGCTCCATGACCAGTAAGTGTCCTAATATCCTCCAGTTCTAAAAACAGCCCTACTACACAAGATACAAGCAAAGACTGCTATGTTCCATAGACCATCAGACCAAGTCATGAGCCATTGTTCTACATGGTTAGCTTTTTACTCCCAGACACAAGACTTCTTTCCCTGATGTGAATAATCCTTTTTCCGGCCACATCTGGAATTAAGAAGTCACTGCTTGAAAATGCCACTGATCACAAATGAAAATAGAGCATGAGAAGAGTTACCCCATACACTATTAACTTTTCAACAATAAATGAGGAAGCAAGATGCTTCATGGTGGGATGTCCTGTGAATACGTACGACATGGTGGCAGGTGAAGGGAGTTTGGGGGAAAACATACTTAAATGCATGGTCATATTATCTGGAAGGAGACTCTGCTCAATTGATAAGTTAAATTTCAGAACTTTCATTACAGTCTCTTCCTCCCTGGAATTTCCCAGTACAAACCAATCTTACCTTTCCTGTTTACTGCAGCCCTGTGTACTAAGTTCTAAGCCTGATGCTACAGACCTGCTCCAAGATCATCATGGACTTGGTTTCTGGTAAGGGAAGATGGCCCAAGAGCTACAACTCAGAATTGGGACAGAAAGGACATAGGGTTTTTTTTCCCCTGGCCCTATGATGTTGCATCCTGAGGCTTCTCTGGCAGTTGGAAGGCAGATTCGTTGCCCTCTTTTCTGTCCACTATGGGCAATATGGTGGTAACTGTTTAGTCACTAATTTTGTACCTGGAGTCAACAGAAAGTCACATGGCTATTTAGAAGTCCCTGGCAGTGGAAGAAACAGAAATTTTGCCTCTTTTGCTTTTTGTTAAGCAACTTCTCTCTGAGATGAGGTGCCTCCTGGTCATAGTCTGGCTTGGTGCTCATCCCATGTGCCGAGGAGCAGGGCTTTCAAACTACAGGCTGATTAGGTCAAGAGGTTCTGGTAGGGACTTTCTTCTGCAGCAGAGAAGATGAATGAATATTCAAGTATGCTTCCTTGCCAACCTGAGTATTCACTCAGGATGACACAGAGTTTGGCTTCTCTTCTGAGTGCTGCAAATCAAACTCCATCAAGAATGTCCTCTGGACCCATGATTTTCTCTGAATGGCTTGGTTGGCCCATCCCCTTCAAAACAGAAAAAAGAACCCTCCCCCCAATATAACCAGACACAATATGCATCTGTCATGTTGTTTAAAAAAAACCACTGCAAAACTAAAAGTGCAATAAAGTCAGTTTTCTTTCCTTTGCTCAGAGCCATCTGCATGTCCTGCTACAGCCTGGAGAAAGGAATTCACTTGTCAAAAAAGCTAAGAACGCCAACACATAGGGACAGTAGACTGCAGATTCCTCACAGCTTGTGTCCTACAGTGTAACTTCACAGGAGGGAGGAAAAAAGGGACCCCAACCCTGTGGCCAGTTGGGCTGGGGGCTACCCAGGCACAGAGGGAGAGGAAGTCATACTGTCAGACACACTTGGGAAGTGGGAAAGTTCTTCTCCTGGCCAAGCTGTCATCTTCCTCCTACCTTCTTGACCACACTACCAGCTTCTTGAGCCCCTTTTGTAGACAGAGCTTTAGCTTAGTAGTTTTTATGCTGGAGAGGGTTGAGGGTGGGACAAGAACCAGGAGTAAAGGAAGAGGAGGGAAGAGAATAGTAGTCCTTGAGTTTTTGTGAATGACACCTTCACTGTAAACAATGGGAAGGAGAGTCAACCAGGCAGCTCCACAGGCAGCAGTGGAGAAGCAGCAGCTCTGGGACCAGCTCAGAGCATCAGATAGGAGGGGACTGCCACTGACCCACTGGGCCCTGGCTGCCTGCACTGGCTCCTTCTGGGGGAATCTGTTTTCTTCTTTTTGGTTTGGATCTCCACCCTCCCCCACAGAGGAGTCCCTTCCAATGAGAAGTGGCAGGAGCTTCAGGTGCAAATGGAGCCAGAGTCCCCAGGGCCTGAGGACTCCTGGGAGGCACTGGTCACTTGTGGCGCTGAGCAGTCTTCTTCCTTTTCCTCTTAAAGAAACAGCAGCACCTGGAGCACAAGAACATTGTAAGTCAGCGCTAGAAGCGTTCCCGACTTCCAGCAGATCTCTGCCTGCTTCTGCTTACTGGATGGGTAGGATTTTCTTCCCTTTGGCACCTACCCACAGGGCCACCCACCATCTACAGTACACACACACTGGAGGCAGCATCTTCCAGGAAAGCTAAAAGCCAACAGTTGATTCTGAATTGCAACTACCAACCTAATTATCAAAATGCTATAGGTTAGGCATAGTTGAAATAGGCATTTCTGGAAGGAAGATGAAGAGGGCTTTTTTTCCCCTAGACTAACATCCAACCCAGACACTCCATCTTTGTCTAGAACCAAGGTGGGGTGCTAGGGCTGCATAACAATAGACTGCACTGTCTGCTCCTCAATACTGGCAGCAAATCAATGCAATCTACTAGCCAGTTGGCAAGGAAGCTAAACTAAGGCAAACAAATCTTATAGAGAGTATGAAATCTAGAACCTTGGTAGTCTCAGGATCCTACCAACAAAAGATAAAAGATTCTACCATGCTCTTGTCCCCACACTGTTACCAGGAGTAAACAGAAGGTCTGACTCATGTAAGTGTGAAACTTATCTCCTGACACCAGCATAGGCCCCTCTCATCTCAAGGGGACCAATGCCCCCAGCCCAGGAGCCGATTCTCAGGAAAACTCTGGTCCCATGGAATTCCCCATTTACCTTCCCAAGACCACTACTGCTGTACCACACAGCATTAGGAACTGGCCTGTTTAGGGTAGAGGTTGGGCCCCTCCAAGTGCTACCCCTGGGGAAGTCTATAGAATAGGTGCAGGGTTGGCACCCCCTAAATCTGAGGATACCCTCCTTACTCCAGCTTTTGGACTGGGAAATGTCACTGTTGCTTAGGTAACCCAGAAGGGGGTGACGAAGGCTATGACAAGGTTGATGCAAAAGGTATGTTCTTTCAAAGAAATGACACATGAAAAACAAGAATGAAGAACAGAAGGCAGCAGATGAGTCAAAGATGCCAGATGATATAGAAGAGTATTGACAGATAATGTTTTCTGAAAACTTATCTTTAAGTCTCTTACCCAATCCTTCTAGGCATTTTTTTTTTTTTTTTTAATTTTGTGTGAGTG